TATTTTATTACTGCACATTAATTTTCACAGTAGTTTGAACAAAGTTGTTTTTGATTCGAGCAACCGCGAAACATTTCAAGCGGCACTTTGACCAAGGAAGATCAGTAATAATTGCCAGCTTGTTTTCATTCTATAATTTCTTCCTTAGCGCTGTCTTAACGTGTAAAAACTGGCGTAAAATTTGCAATTATTTTTTAATCTCAGAATAAGCCGTTTGGAAAGGGGCGTTGGCAATTATCCACCCAAAACCCACAACTATTAGTCTTAATTGAGTCTATTAAAACAGTGATATGCGGGATATTACGAAACAATTAAACAATTAGAACCGACATCAAAAAGCTCATTGTGAAAGAGGCCCGCCTTGGGATCATTACTCTATGACAAGGTGTTATTATATTTTTCTTTTATATAATTAATGCCAGTCGAGTTTGTTTTGAAAGTCAATATTATTAAATTTTTATGCTAGAGGAACCAGCCTACGTAAACTTGTTATTTTCTCTAATTGAAATCACGTGGAGGGGGAATTAAAGAAAAAATATTGTAATAAAATATTCAGGAGAGTCATGATGCAAGATTGCCGAATCAACTCGCTCCATTATAAATGAATTTATGGCACGTCCTCACGAAGACAACTTAAGTCGAAAGTTACTTGATTCGGGTTATGTTCACGTGTTTCATGAAAAAACTGTTCATCGTTAGGCTGGTTGAAGCAGTAGCATCGAAAGCAGTAGTACGTGAAGTTATAACAGTTGTGTTAAAAGACGTCTTTTTTTAGTTTGGGGGTTGATGCAGAAGACAATTTCTTTCTCCACAAAAGACGAATTAACAATAAATTTATTTAGCTTGAGGAAAGATCATAAGAAACTTTTATGGGTGAAGCAATTTTAAGGAGAAATTGGTTGGGAGCATCAGATTGCTTGTTGAAGGAACTCGAATTGTAGTATAAAGATGGTTACAGGAACTTTAGAAACTATAATTTGTTGCTGACGTTTCGACCTTCATTCGGGTCATCTTCAGGAATAAAGTGTGGAAGAAAAAAACCCCCAAATATGAACCACAAGAATAGCACCACACTTTATCCCCTGAAGATGACCCGAATAGGTCGAAACGTCGGCAAAAATATAAAATAAGTGTTTTTCTAAACTACGTCATTCTTGACCGCTCCTCATGACTTCAACAAATTATTAAAAAACAGGTAACTAAGAAACACGCATTTAGAATCTATTTTTAAAAATATTTGACGAACTGCTGTTAAAAGTTGACAGGCGGCATAATTCACTCCTGAAGACCAGCATCTTTACCTTGTTGTGCCCTGAGCTGTGAACTTAATCATAGAGAGACGGTGAGTAATCTTTATTCCACTTCCTTTTTTATACAATACATTTATATTCTTCAGTTTATCTCTGTATATATTAAACCTATTTATTACTCCCATACGATCCTCATCTGGTATTTTGCGACATCTTCCCCAACTCCTTAATAGATCCATCGTGAGCATAAAGTCGTCCAACCATCCTACCTGTACTTCTTTATATTTATAGCTTTCCCTTGCAAAATTCCCTTTTTCCAAAATCATGGAAGCAATCTTTGGTTAAATCCGAGTTCTTGATCGCCCGGGAGAAAGAAAAAAGTTCACGTGTGCTACATATTTTCAACTAACAAAGTATCTCCAAATTTCACAGCATTCTTGCTCGACAACATGACCAAACTCAACAAAAAATCTAAATTATATAATTAAATGATACATTTTTAAATAACATTGCAGCATAAGAAAAAAAAACAGTTATGCCCCTTGGAAGTTCCTTCTTCTAAACTTAAGCGTTATTCGGTCGCGCTGTAAATTTTGAGGAGCCCCTTCCCAATGAAAAAAGGTTTGCCATCGGTCCTCTGAATTCGATTAATCGAATCCGACCGCTCACCTGTTGTTTTCAGTTGGTGAAACTGCATGGTTTCCGCCCTCCGTCCCACTTATAATTTTCCGACTTTTCCTTCTGTTTTCCTCACCCTTAACTTTTCGCCGCTTACTTTTTACCTTCTTCAACCTCTGTTTTGAAGACAACTATGTGAGTGCCAGTCCTGGAACTCGAAACAAAGAAGAATCTCCGTGTGGAAGTACCGAACGTTCAGTTAACCTTATTTCTGTTGATTCTTTAACCTCTTTTTTTCCTATGTAATTATCCCCTTTATTTTTATTGATTGGTGTAACGTAGGTTTTAGAAAAACATTTTGTTTATCGTGCCAACGTTTCGATCTTTAGTGAGATCATCTTCAGGGCTCTAAGCGTTTTCTTGTTTTCCGTGTAGATGTCTGTCGTCTTGTGAGTGCCTGTGAAATATTTATTTTTAATTTAATATTTACACAGTCCGCTACATGTATGATGCCAATAATGTCATAAACGTGATTAGAAGCACATATAATAAAAGATTACGAAAAAATCATATGAAACGTAATTAAATCGATAAATACATAGGTTTACATATATAAAAGTCACGACCTTCATGAGTTCACCCTTTACCTAAAACCATGTCCTGTTTACTGTTTACATTAGTATCAACCATCAAACACCATGTCCTTCCAAGCCAAAGAAAGCTTGTATTTATTAGGGAGTGAATGAACATGACTGGAATGAAACCAATATTACCAAAAAAAAATGTACATAAAAATAAACAATACATTGATATTTATAAAAGTGTAGTCATCCTATTTGATCAGAAAATCTTAACTTCTGAATAATTTTATAATCCAGATTAACTTCTGAACTTTTTTTATGCTAGGCAATTTTCCGACAAGAAAGCGGAAGGATATTCTTTTTAAACAAATTTAAAATTAAAATAGAAAAACAGTTTAATGCTACATTGGATGTTTTACTGTATTTTGTACAAATTGATAATGTTTAGTGACCGTTAATTAATGATTATTAATTGTGATGCTGTCTGATGTTGATGTAGGTTTAAAAAAACATTTCCTTTTCGTGCCAACGTTTCGATCTTGATTGAGAACATCTTCAGAGCCTGATATTCTTAAACATTGTTTAAATTACATAAATAATTGTTCAATTTAAATAATAAAATAACATTTTCTTTATCCAACGTTTCGATCTTAATTGAGATCATCTTGTGTAATTGTGCCATTCTTGCGTGTCGTGTCTGTTGAGTGCCAGTGAGTGTCACAATTACACAGATGACAAACACAAACACTACACTATTGAGTGAATAGAAATACTTTTATTGAATATAAAAAAATATATTTTGCATTGTACAAATTCACTTTTCCACATCCGAAATGTATTTGTTAAATGTAAACAATGTTTGTAAATCCCAGGCCCTGAAGACGATCTCAATAAAGATCGAACGTTGGCACGATAAAGAAAATGTTTTTCTGAAACCTACATCACACCAGACCGCATCTCACGATTTCTGAATAATTATCGATTAACGGTCACTAATCACCACACAAATTTAAACCATGTTTATAAATCCCAGGCCCTGAAGAAGGTCTCAATAAAGATGGAAATTCATTATATTTCGTGGTCTGATTGACCAAATAATTTCTTTCAATTAATTAATCTTTTTATGTAAGGTATTGCTTGAAATGAAAAAGCTAGTGTCACGAGTGGGATTCGAAGGTAGCCGAAGGTCGTGAGTTTTTCATTTCAACCAATACTTTACATAAAAAGATTAATTAATTGTAAAAAGATGGAAATGTTGGCACGATAAAGAAAATGTTTTTTTAAAAACTACATCACACTAGACACGGTGTCTAAATAATATCTAAAATAAATAAAAATCTTAATTGCTTATGTTAAATTTGATTTAAGATATTGACATACAACAGTCGGAATTATTTGTATAACTTATAAAAAAATGAATAAATAAAAATAATCTAAAACTAATTTGTTGAAGTCGTGAAGAGCGGTCAAGAATGAGGTAGTTTAGAAAAACATCTTTTTCATTTTTTTGCCGCCGTTTCGACCTTTATTCGGGTTATCTTCCCGACATAATGTGTGGTGCTATTCTTTTGGTGACATATTGTTTTGTGTGAAAGTGTTGTCTGGTGTGTGTTGCTATAATTTTGAGTGTGGCAGTGGCTTGGTGTCCATGTTTGTATGTGTATGTCTGTTGGTTGTGTTATTCCTGTCCGGAAGAAATGTGTGTTTCTTAGTGACTTGTATTATAATCTGTTCAAGTCGTCAGAAGCGGTCAAGAATGAGGTAGTTTAGAAAAACACTTTTTTCATTTTTTTGCCGACGTTTTGAATTCTATTCGGGCCATCTTCAGAGCATAAAGTGTGGTGCTTCTTGCAGTGTCGTATTGGTTTTGTGTGAAAGTTGTGAGACGACTTCAACAAATTATGAAACAACAGATCACTGAGAAACACACATAATCTAAAACTACAACTGAAAACAAAGAACTTTTAGTTCGTAGTTAAGATCTTGTTAAATGCAACGATAGTATGAAAAGCGAACGGAGACGATGACACCTCCTTTAATGTTAAAAATATTGTATCAAATAAAAAATTTAAATATGTAAATAAAAATTTAGCGGTTTATGTAAAAATTGATGGAATGTGCTAAAAATGTTTTGATTCAGTGAACAAGTCCTTTCGAGCCAAATGAAGTTGTGGAAATAGCACAGCCAAATCAGAGCTCATCATCCGCCGTGACAATATTGAAGACGTTGTGTGTAATGAATAAAAGGGAAAGGAAATTAAACGGAAGAATGAAGAAGAAATAAAGAAAAGAGGGAGGAAAATTGGAAAAAACCTGGGTGGAGAAAAAGCCGAGCCATTTCCATTTTCCACGGCCGTCTCCGGCAGTGGGACCCTTGCGGGAACTGCCCACTCCTGTCAGGCAATCAATCAGTTCCCCCCACTTCGCCGTCGGCCCTGCCTACTTTCCCCTCCGACGGCTCGACGGCCAATGGGAGCGCAAGACCTGGCCATGCCCACTTGGTAGTTCTCGTACCTGCCGCAGAAGCGCTGTCGCGCCGTGCCGCTCTCTCCATCTCAGCATTGTGCCTCGGTACGTCTCGAGACTAGGATGAAAGTCCGTCCGTTCTGATCGCGACTGTGGTATACCTCAACTCTCGTCGACTCGCGCTTCAGTGGTCCGCCGGTCCTCGCCCTTTCTCATCCGCTTCGACAGGCCCCATTTTTATCAGTGATTTATTTTTTATTATTTGCATCACGGTGACAGTGCTATCCATATCAACCAGTCAAAAAAACCACAGGATTTGTTTCGTAAGTACAATAATTTTTTAAATATTTCATCTCAACATAAACAAAATGACCATGACACCATGTTAAATAAATCCAAAAATGAAAAGAAAAGCTGAATATATATTTAATTCGGGTCAATATTGGATACAGTTTAATCATAGTATAAATGTTCCGAAACGTACTGTGCATGTTTTATTATTAAGTATTGTTTAAAAAAAAGTTGTAATTTAATGAAAAGAACAACAAGAACATGCGGACTTTAGCCAGTCAAACGATATTTTAAGATATTAAGTCAACCGAACTTTTACGCAAATAATATTCAATCTTTCTTTAAAAAAAATCGTTAGGTTTTCGTTTGTCGTCCTCTGTGCAGTTTGTACGTTATTTCGATAGAAATAAAATTTAATCTGGGAAGAAGTAAATCGACAATAGAAGGACCGGAGGCGGTCAAATGTTAAAGATAAGAGAAAGCATTTATTAGGTCTCGTGGTCCGCTAGCCGAATCGTGGGTTCGAATTCCGCTCGTGACACTGACTTTTTTATCTGAACCAAAGCCTTAACTAATAAGAGAAAACGTTGAGCAGTTTTCGTAGGATCGACACCGTGTGCCAAGGAGGAATTGACTTAAAACGCGCGCCTTGTAAGAAGGAAAGCGGGAGCAGACCGGAAGCTTCCGTAATGTTTAACGGTATAACCAAAAACCCAAATAAACCAGAACTATACAATTTTTCCTAATTTTTCGAATACTTACAAATTAGAGACCACATAAAGCGATAGACTTTTAAGAACTAGAATATGTTTGTAACATAATTCAAAGGGGAAAAAATATATATCATACAGCTTTACTTACCTTTAATGGTAGAAATTTGGTGTAAATTTCTAAAATAATGTTTGGTGTTTAGTGACCGTTAATTCTGTTAATTAAGTCCGGTGTGATGTAGGTTTAGAAAAGCCTTTTCTTTATCGTGCCAACGTTTCGATCTTGACTGAGATCATCTTCAGGGCCTGATATTCATAAATATTGTTTAAATTATACAAATAGATGTAAGATGTGAAAATAAATTTTATACAATGATGTACACAACAGGGAATTTTTATGTTCAATCAAAGTATTTGTACTCACTCAAAGTGTTTTTTTTCTGTGTGGATGTGTCATTTAATTCTCAATATCGTCACACGAAACACAACAACACATCTACACAGAAAACACACTTTGAGTGAGTACAAATACTTTTATTAAACATAAATTTGCTATTTGTGTGAATTATTGTATAAATTCATTTTCACATCGAACAAGTATTTGTATAATTTAAACCACGCTTATAAATCCCAGGCCCTGAAGATGATCTCAATAAAGATAGAAACGTTGGCACGATAAGAAAAGGTTTTTTTAAACCTAGATCACACCAGACCGCATCTCACCGTCTCTAAATACTTTCTAAAATAAATAAAACCCTTACTTGCTCGTGTAAAATTTGGCTTTAGATATTGACATACTACGGTGAGAATAATTTATGTAAAAATAAATAAATATAATCTAAAACTACAATTGAAAACAAAGGAGTTTTAGTAATTAAGCTGTTCATAACAATTTGACAGTTAAATTTGAATTAAAAAGCAACGATAGTAGTAAAACCGAACGAAGTCCGTCACACCTACTTTAATGTTAAAAATATTGTGCCAAATAAAATGGTTAAAAAAAACTTAGCTGTTTATGTAAAAATTGGTGGAATATGCCAAAAACGTTTTCATCCACAAAACAAAATCTAAAAGAAAAGGGCTAACTAAGTAAATAAAATTTTACAGCATAATTAAATACAAAAGGTTGTTTTTTCATCAAGATCGGAATGCTTTAGAATTGCACTTTAATTTCAGTAACAAAATCCAAAGATCTATCTAAAAAATGATTCAATGAACGATTGTCCAAGATTCTGAGTATTCTCTTAACTAGGTGCTAAGTAGTGAGTCTGTAAAATGAAAATACAGATGAGAAGCTGAAACTAGATTACAGAAAATTTTTGTTTGTTTTGGTTTATAGTCGCATGCTTGTAAAATTTCCATATGCGGGATGTAGATATTTTTGTACGCACGAACGATAGCAAGCGCAATAATAGATTATAAAATTTTAGTTGGACTCTACTACGTTAAATAGAAAAACAAATACACAAAATACATTGAACATCGGGAATTTATAACTTCAAAAAAACTTACAAAGTTGAAAAAGCTAATTGTAAGATAAGAATTATTCGAGGCAACTTAAGATGAAAAAATTCGTAGGACGTAGAATATTGTCTTGATAATGTGTGATAAAAGTCATAAGTACTAAAACTTCTCTAAAAAAATTGTACAACTTTAGGAAAATTGCCAACTTGTTTGCGTAAAATCGTCAGAAAATCTGCTCATGTGCCTACAAACATAAATTATGAAAATATTACATTTAATAACTGAACATTAAACTTTTTTAATTGCTATAAATTTTGATTGAAGGAACGTGTACAAGTAAATTTGAACTGACTGAAAATACGCGATAACAGGCGGATCAGAGAAAATCCAACCCCTACAACGCTATCCGACTGCGATTAAATTGAAAATTGAAATAAATATTATATTATCCTATCTATATAAGTTCAATAAATTTAACTTTCTCATATTAGCAAATAACAACCTCTGAAAAAAGTTAACTTGCTTCGTAGAGTAGATTTTATTGGTGGTTCGGCTGGCCTACAAAAATAACGATTTTATTTTTACTTTTTCATTTACAAAAAATACGACAAAGAGTAAAAACTCCGAAGAAGGAAACAAGTCACTCAATACGTTAATTAATAAATAATTAAAGTATGAAATGCCTCATAAATTGCAGGCAACGAGAACCTGCACATCAGAATCGGTCAGTGCTGATATTTATTAAAAAGCCTAACTGTAAATCTGTAAAACCTATTTAAAAAATAGCAATTAATTTAATAAAATTATTAAAATAAAACTGAAGAATTTCTATAAAAATTTCATATATTCATTTCATTAACCAAATCCATTTCAACGAAGAACAGCTCTAAATTGGATTGGATTTATATAAGCTCAAATCTGCACATGTATGTACAAATATACACACATGTACAGACCCGATCGCAGTCCGTAGACAACTCAGAATTGAAATATAAACAGACAAATTCGCGTTTACCATAGTTCTATCAAATTCGTCCGCATGGTTTCGCTATTTGTATGGAGACTTATAAAAGCCACATAGACTATGGGTGGAAGGTAGGTGTAGCCGTATCTTTTAGTCACTAGAGTGCGAAATAATTTATAGTATAATAATAATAATTTATTTGTACATGACACTTTTAACCAAAAGTGTAAATAAACAAATTGTACATTTTTACGATCTGTGCGTTTGTTAAGCGTACGTATTTAATTAAAAAATATGCCCTTTAAACATCAAGTCCAAACCCTATTTTATAAGAATTTTTCATATTTGGTGTTCATAGTTTCGCCTTTTGTTTCGAAAAAGGAAGAAATGTCGCCAGAATCGTCTGCTTTTCTTTAAACGAAAAAGCTGGATGGTAATTGTTTAAAGCGAAATTTATACAAAGGTGACTAACACTTTTACAAACGGACTGGTATCCAAAATGATTACGAACACCATTAAAACAATATTTAATGTTTAAAAGGGGTAATTTTTTGTACTTGGATACAAAATTATATGTCATTGCCGAGAAACGAGTCTTAGCCTTTCTGAAAATTTTCCGTTTTGCCTGCGGGTGGTGAACCTGAAATTTGCTCTTTCCGATCTTCAGATGTTCGTTAACGACTAAATGGCAACCATTTAAAGATTTTCTCTAGTATTTTATTTCTCGGTTGTGAAAGTTATCATATATTATTTCAAACAACAAAATAAGCAGCTGTCGTACTTACCACGTTATTCTCAAGAACTTAACTGTAAAAACTAAAGCGTTAGTCTAAAAAAATAAATTTATACAGACAATAATGCACATATTAATGTCGTCGATCCAAAAAAAAAAAAAAAAAAATCCAATTTTTCCTCGTCTTATATTTCAATTTTGTTTTGTGTAGGTGTAATTTTACTATCAGTTATCTCCATGTGATTCGTTTTTAGTATCAAACGCAATTTAAATTATTCAGGGCAAACAATTATTTTTAAATGTACATTTGGCGATTTTGAAATAGTTAAAAATTTTAACTGTACAATTTTTATTTACAAACAATAAAAACTGTAGTAAAGGGCTTTGTGTTTCTGCCATAGTTCTATTTTTTCCTACCAATATGAAGGAAAAAGTAAATTTCACCTTTTTTTAATGCTTATCCGTTAAAAGTTTTGAATTCTGTATTGCCGTATGAAGCTGATATCTTTAATAATAATCAATGGGTCCTTTTATGTTTCTTCACGAAATTAATGGTAATTAAACGTTTACCGACAATTTTTAATACGCTGAATAATATTCTAGTGTCAAATAATGGCAGTCGGTTTAAATAAAATCAAATATAAAAATATATACAGCTTTAAGAAATTCGTTTTAATATTTACTTTTAAACAAACATAGTTGAAAAGATAGATATCAAAGAATTGATTATTTAAATGTTTATAAAAAATACATTATCTATTAATGATTAAAAATAAATCATCCTAAAAAAGTTGATTGATTGGTAGATATTAATTTTTTTATTAATAATATTATTCAACCTGGAATAAAAATGACTCAAGCAAAAGAAAAGTTGAGCACATCTATATCAAAATATAAAATTAACATAATTTTGAAGCACGTTTTGTATGGAAACATACTTCATTTTTCAAAGATTATCAATGATAAAAAGTTGCTTTCTACGTTGCATAATTTTTGTTTTTGTTTTTTGCTCAAATAGAATTTTTGAGAGGGTGGGCGATAACACGGCGGCCGTCAGGCCGATAATTTTTGCACTCTCTTCTATCATGTTTTTATGACCTGGAATATTTGCCAGTTATGTAATTTTCCAATGAAATCAGTCGAAAAATTGACATTTTCACG